TTACTTCCTGAACATTTTCGGCCTATTTCTATTCTTCCATTTTTATCTAAAGTACTCGAGGCCTGTGTACATAAGCAACTCTCACAGTTTGTATACAGAAACCAACTTTTAAGCCCTCTACAATCGGGCTTCAGACCCGGCCACAGCACAGTTACCGCTCTCCTTAAAGTGACTGGCGATATTAGGAAGGGCATGGAAGATACCAAAGTCACAGTATTAGTCCTAGTTGACTTCTCTAATGCCTTTAATACCGTCAATCACGAAATCCTGTTATCTATCCTATCCCATCTTAAGGTTCCTTCTGAGACACTGGAATGGTTCTCCACCTATCTTCAGGGGCGACAGCAATGTGTTCGTGTTGATGACTTATCATCAAGTTGGTGCGACCTCCACGCTGGCGTCCCACAAGGCGGAATTTTATCTCCTCTCTTATTCTCTATATTTATTAACCTCGTAACTCAACATCTTCAGTGTGCGTATCACCTGTATGCTGATGATCTGCAGCTGTACTCACAGGCAAGGGTAGAGGACGTAACGCGGGCTATTGACGAGGTCAATCGGGACCTGGAGGTCATAGAGTCCTTTTCGATGAGATTTGGACTGTCAGTTAATCCGACCAAATGTCAGGCAATCATAACAGGCAGCAAACGGATTATGAGCAGATTGGATACTGCCTCTATCCCACCGGTCGTCTACAATGGTTTAATTATTCCATTCAGCCCGGTAGTCAAAGACCTGGGCTTACTTATCGATTCATCCCTCGATTGGCGAGCTCAAATTACTAGCGTGAGCCAGAAAGTAACTGGCAATTTGCGAACATTGTATCGTCTCAAGAATTTCCTACCGCATAAAACCAAAGTTACGCTCATGCAGTCCTTAATAATGCCAATAATTGACTATGGTGATGTGTGTTATTTCGACCTGAATGCAGACCTTCTAAATAAGCTTGACCGTCTTCTCAATAACTGCATTCGATACATCTTCAATCTTCGGAAGTATGACCATGTGTCTGCTTTGCGTTCCCAATTAAACTGGTTACCTATTCGCCTCCGCCGCAAACAGCGTGCACTTACCTCTCTATTTGCATTTCTCAATTCACCGTCCTCACCTACTTACCTTGCTCCCTACTTATGTTACCTGTCTAGCAATCATGACAGAAATCTTCGCTCAGATAACAATCTGCTTCTCTTATGTCCCTCTCACAACTCCGACTTCGTGAACTCTTCGTTCTTTGTTCAAGCAGTACTACTCTGGAATGCGCTCCCGCTCGAAATCAGGATGTCCACAAACCGCTTTATATTCAAAAAGAAGGTACATGCTCTCCTTCTTAAAGAAATGGCAGAACGGTCTAATCCATAGTTAAGTATACCTCAAATTCAGGTTTTCATAGTGTACGAATATGATATGTCTATGTATCTATATAAATATACTTGTATATATATATGTATGTGTATCTTTGCGTATTTATGATGTGTAAGTGTAGTATGTGTGTATATGTTTATATATGTAGTGAACCGTATATATTTTCATTGTACATTTGATATTATGATGTAACCTCTGTGCACCTACCTGACAAGATTTCTACATCACCCAAAGGTTGACTGGAAGAGAATGCCCTGGGCATTAAGTCCGCCGATGTACAAAAGTGCATAAAGATGAATAAATAAATAAATAAATAAATCTGTCCACAGGCATATGCGTAGCAAACGTCAATTCAGTATTCAATGTGGCGTCAACCGAGTTGAACATAGCGACACATGACAGTAACAATCGCCAAAATGGCTAAATGCGTAGTGAAATAATGCGATTCAAGGTCACAAAACATTAATAAATCATGCGGAATTACTTTTCACGTGTAAGTTTATGGTTTTTGTATTGATAATATCGTAAATAAGGCTATAATTGAAATAAAACACTGATAATTGTAATTTAGAATCAGTGTTACCATTAAAAAATCATTTTGGTTTTCCCACATTAGTGGGAGAATTTATAATTTAGGAAATAATATGCTTTATACTGTTTTTAAACATTTTGCCAATAATAATAAAATATAGGAAGAACGGTAGTTGTTAGGGCTGGACCGATCACTTTTTTTAGGGACCCGTTGAACGTTCACTGCGAGCTTGGCAGAAGTGCCAAGCTCGCAGTGCTGGAGACTTGTACAAAAGAATTAATTCATTGTTTTTCTTAATTTATTATCAATTTTAAATAATAATTGTACAAAATAATAATAATAATAATAAAAGAAAAAGCTGAAAAAGATAAACAAGTGAAGTATTTGGATTTAGCCCACGAGATTGTCGACATGTGGGATGTTGATTCGGCAATCGTTGTACCGATAGTCATATCGGCCCATGGATTAGTTGCTAAGAGCCTCGACCAACATCTTCAGAGGCTCGCGTTAGGCAGTTGGATTAAGGGTCTGATGCAGAAAGCAGTTCTTGTCGATATGGCACGTATTGTGAGGAAGTTTCTGTCTCTGGAGTCCTAACCACCGATATCTTGGTCTCTGTACCCGATACCGATGGGATACTATTTTTTATATTTTTAAATGTATTTTATTTCTTGTTTTTGTATATTTAAAAATGTAATTTATATTTATAAAGAATGAAATAAAGAAATAATAATAAAAAATGTTTATCATAAAAATATAAAATAAAAAACTAAATAAACATAAATAAATTTTTTTATAAAATATGATTTTTTTTTTATTTGTGTTTTAAATTATAATAGAATTTGCAATACACCCTGGGGATTATTTATTATCAGTACAAGTTGATCATTCACTTTTGTTATTTTTATATACGTAAAAATAAGATTGTATCATGAAAGTAAAATATCCACACAACCTTATAAAAAAGAGTCTAAAAGACAATTGTATACAAAACTGATGCTGCACAGCGCAGTTAGATTTTACACTGAATATAAACCCTTTTAACCAAATATTTCCAGTTATTTTATTATTTATACCTATTCTATTCAATTCGAAATATATTATTTAGAATATTTAAATTAATTTATTTTATTACAAAATAGTTTTAAAAAAAATTGATTCTTAGTTGTTATGGGTAAAATTTCATACGGTAGTCAACACTGGCCCACCATCGTAAAGTTATATCTTTGTCTTTGTCTAATCCGAGCGATGGTATTGTTCTTGTCTCGCGTGTAAATGAGACATAAATATGTTTACTTTCAAATGTTTAGTGGTATCAAAGCTACGTCGTCAAAGTTCAAAAGTGGTTACACTTTTTTCGACGTATGAAAATGAGGTTTGCTTCTCTAGTGTTGTTTTAACTCAATGAGCAAAACCATCTCAACATTTGAAAAACTGACAAAGTTGCATTAACGATAAGGTGCTGTTTTTCTTATTATTTAGTAATAAAATCAAAAATTAGCTATAAAGTTCTAAGTCAATTTATAAAAGATTTTGAAAATGAAATGAAAAACATTGTGTGACGCAGGTGTTTAATAATTTGCAATTTCTTCAAAACACTTTGTCTTCACACAGACTAATATAATAACTTTTACCTATACCAATAAATACAATTTAAGTGTCCGTTTTTATTGTCAAATTAACAGATTTTTATTCAATAATAGAAATATGTACACACAAGCAAAAAAAGACAATATGTACTTCTAAGCGAGAAACAATGATATATTAGACCGACTATAATGTATATTATGTTCATAGTACTAAACAAAATAAAATTAATGTGGTAAAGAAGAATACCTACCTATATGTGCCTATTTTGTTTTTAACCGACGAAATAAGGAATAGTCGTTCAGCACACAAGATTATTTAGGTAGGTGTTCACCTTATTGCACCCAATTGCAGCTGTTCAAGTAGGCTAACAAGTTTATTTTTATATTTATTTCAAGTTATTACTTCCTCTTTCACTTCAATAATTGTTAGTTTTTCTTACAGTCCAAAGAGAAAATTCAAAACCCTCAGTTTTCATGATAATAAGGTAATTCATCCACTAATATGACCATCAGATTTTTTTAAGAATATTTTCTATGATAAGAAAACAAATTTAAGAAAGAAAACATTAAATTTTAATTACCCATATGAATCCATATACCTACTATAATAACTAGGTATTTGTAATAGGATTAAAATCCAACATCTATTAGGTATTAAAACATGGGTAAGTAATAACCAAAATACTATTATATAGAGAAAAAAAGAAAGACTTAAAAAGGAATAAAGGAACAGTTATCAGTATAATCCTAAAACGCGTTCGCGAGGTACACTTTTCCCGCCGCATCGTCCGCCCGCCCCAAACGTCCTATACTCGTCCTCAACGAAATAACAGCGGCTCATTGCCGATAGCTCTTAGTTACAATACTGCAATATAACCGTTATATAATAAGTATATAACACTGCTAGTTTATGCATAGTTATTTTTGTTGTTCATCTACCTACCTAGTAACAATCAAGTTCAAGTTGACAATTATAATATGTGGACATTTCGGTAACATTGATACTTAATGTAAATTAATTTTATTTGGTTAGTATTGCTTATTTGTGTTATACATATACATCTATCTGTATTATTTGTAAGCAAAAAGTAGAATTGAATGGGACACGAGCCTCAATTTATAAACATCCAGTCACCTACTTATGGAATTGTACAAACAATTCTGTGATAACAGTAGTTTCCAAATTTCAGTAAAGTAACACGGCTAATTCGAATAGGACATAGCTCATAGCGACTTTGTAATGCTATTCGAAACGTTTCTAATTGGCTGTGTATACGCGAAATGCTTCCAGTGGCCTACGTGACTCACGGCCCCTTCGCAATGGCGCCGAAGTGCCACGCGAATTTCGGACTTATTGACGTATTCCTGCTTTTAACCTCTTAAACACGATATCACCATTGGTTGATAACAATAATCGTTGATAATGTTTCCTTTATTAACAATACGTTTATGGGTTATATAACATCAGAAATAGCACGTGTTTCAAAGTAATCAGCTGATTTTGAGGCGGTACTCACCCCATGACCGCGCCAACCCTTCGGACAGCGCCGCTAATAGCAACAGACACTGTATTTTAAACATTTTATCTCATTAAATGGGTACAATTAAATGCACATATAGTTTGCAGTACTATGTACGAGTTTCAACTAAGCGTAGAAGGCGTGCGCGTCGCTGACGACCACGCCGAGCGCGTGTTAAACCGAAACTAAAGTTACTAGAGGAGAGTAGAGAGTACAGGCACACTGCTGGCCGGCTTACCGCGAATACTAAATCTAAATTCATTGAAGATATTTTGCGCATGCGGTATCTTGTCGTGTTCTTATCACAGATAGCTACTAGGGGGAGTGTCAACAAATAACTTTGTACGATGTCGTTTATGCCCGTGAATAGTTAAACATAGTTGTCAGTTTGTAGTAGGATTGTTTTATTTTTTAGCATGTTTTTGTGAACCGAAAACTGCTGCCGGTATTCGAAGCTTGAGTGTTATACTTCCCGTTAAACTTAACTTAAACGTACCTTATTAAAATAAACTTTATAACAATATGTATTTTATCTTTGCGAGTTGAATTAAATCTAGGTCATTAACAAATTGCCAAAGATTAGTGGTAGTGCACAATTAACATTGCAATAAACGGATATAATTAAATATAACAAAAGCAATTGTTGATTTTAATAATAAAATAGACAATCGATTGCAAAAACGTTCAAGTACAAGCGCCGCAATAGATTCGAAAAATAAATTGGAGATAAGAGCTTATTTTTTTGGAAAATAATTCATGTTACACATATTTTACATATTTTTGGCAAATTTTTATATGTTATATTTTTTTTTAAATAAAGATATTTATATATTAAATATATTTAAGTACAGAACTTTCAAATCCGTAAATAATGCATTCATAAATGTTCCACAAACTATAATTCTTTATTAATATAGTAGGTATTTACAATTATAAAATTATAATCAAAAAAGAATTCGCAGTTGTTCTTTAATTTATAATGTTAGGAAGACCTAAGAGATATCGTCCTTAGTTCTATTTCACAATACACTTAGTATTACATACATAAGTTTTCAAATATATTTTGAAAACTTATGTATGTTATAAATTTAATTATAAACACCTTTTTAAAATCGATTAATGAACCATCAATGAACTTTGTACTCGGTGGTTTTAAAACGTTTTGCACATATGTATGTATAACTGGTAAAACCAAACTTGGCAACGGATGTTAATAACTATTAACGAAGCGTTTCATGATAATAATGTAATAATTACTAATTTGCGCCTGTGTGCGTTGTTCTTATTTAACATAATACGCTGAAGGTAAATAGATTATTACGTATTTTAAACTATGTCTATTTGGACGTTTAGTCTGACTCAGTCAGAAGCGTCTGCAAAAAGACATTTTTCTAGAAATAGTTTTTAGGAACAACATTGGGCTGAGAAACACTTATTTGTGGAATGGAATTGTTATGTACCCTAATATGAGAGATTCGTATCGTTTTTTTTTTCTTTTACGTCGGGGTTTCCTGCTGGGCAATGTGTCGGAATCAAATCAAAAAAAAGAGCCATGCTTCGGCTATTTGTGCCGAAGCATGGCTCTTTTTTTGGGCTTCTCGACTGGAGTGATACCAGGGTATCACAGAAGACTGGTATTCAGCAATCTTTTCGTTCCTTTTTAAGGAGTTACTAAGTTTAACGGAGCGGCAATCCCTCATCTCCTCCCCCCTGGTTCTGAAGAGAGAAATCCAAGGGCAGCCACGCACTTGTTACTCTTCACTTGCAAGTGTCCATGGACGGCGGTAGATACTTACCATCAGGTAAATCGTCTGCTCGTTTGTCCTCCTATACCATAAAGAAACTGACCACAAAGACCAGATGACGGTCCCAATGTTATTCATGGGTTTTTCATCAACAGCCTTGGTGACGATCGTACGAGATTGCTATAACGTGTAAAATGAAACTCTCATTTCTTTTAAAATTTGACTTAAAATATACCGAACTTATACGACTAGGTATATTCATATATGTTTTTATGTGCTTGTTGCTTATTTTTGTATATTATTTTAACACTACTTTAGCTTTACTACACGTGGACATTTCCCCTTGTTTCTTTTATGTTCTGTCGTATTGTCCATCCAAAGGTTGCCTATGAGAAATTGCTGTATGCAATAAGGCCGCCCATTGTACATATCTTTTTGTTATGCATATATAATTTTCTAATTGATGTACAATAAAGCATATTCTATTGTATATGATACAATGTGACCTCCATGGGCGCATTTAGACTTCAATGTTTGCAACGTCACATTTGCCCATTAAGTAACTAGGCCTTTCTTAAGTAGGTAATTCATCAACGTCATCAGCAGCGAAACGTACTTGACATAGGCCTCTCCTTAGAAAGGAGGTTTCGGCTTACTATACCACGCTGGCCAGACGGGTTGATATAGGGTTTGTGTCAACCACAGGGTTAGTTTATACAATTGTTGTACCGTTAGTACGAAGTAAAAATGAGTTATTAACAAGTAGATCTAGATCATATTGATAACGGTGGCAGACTTCCGGACACGATACAACTTCCACTTCCCTATTGACCCGTGACTGAGATTTCCGAGAACAGAGAAACGCTTGAGATATCATGTTAATTGAACCGGTTAAGTTCGAATCGGTCTTTTCTTCGAGGTCCACATTTTGCGGATATATTTATTTGTTATCTATGAGCTATATAATTAAGGCGCGATTGTCACAAAAGATATATCGTATTTGGTGACACCTCATAAAATAGTCTCAAAAAGTGAGCTTACTTTTAGCGAATATCAGAAATAAGTTCATTGTAGATGGGAGTACTACTCTGGTCCATATTTCCAATATATATATATATATATATACATATGTATTTATAACAAGAAACCGCTGGGTCTAGAAGCATGAGATTTTGTAGAAATATTTCTTAAGTGACGTAGGTGTGCACTAAGAAAGGATTTTTGAAAATTCCAGCCCTACGAGTCCAAAACTCCGAGTGTTGTGGGTTCAAACCCTACACTTTGTGTGATCCACAAATTGTTGTTCTGAGTCTGGGTGTTCTTTGTGTCCGTTTCATGTATGTTTGTAAAGTCCCCGCGACACAGGATATATTCCTAATGCGGAAGTTGTCTTTTTAAAAAGAAAAAAAAAGAAATTTCTAAATACATGAGTAATCAGATACATTACTTACACAGTACACACAGAACAAATGATTGTGCTTATGACACACACACGCTTAGTCTTCCTGGGTGGAAATCGAATTCACAACCTTTGGCTTAGCGTTCTGGGTCAAGGACGTAGCAAGGATTTATTTTAGGGTGGGGTCAACAATGAGTAGTAAATAAAATTCCACTTAAGAAAATAATATAATAATATTTTGGACATCTGACATACAACGCCATCTAGTTTGAGACTAAACAGAGCTTGTACTATGAAAGCTAGATTGACTGATCGAATACTTATATACTTTTTTTGTGAATATGTACATACATATTATACATAGAAAACACCCAAACTCTGACACAAATATTTGCAGATCATACAAACATTTGGTCTTTCCCGGCAATCCAACCGAAGACCTCAGCACAGCAGTCGCATACGCTACCACTGCACCACCATCAAATGTATCTGAAGTATGTATTTTAGCAAAAGCCTGCGACGATTTTAGCTGGCGATATTTATCAAAGTTTTTCAGTCCACCAGTGCCACTTTATTTTGTAATAGCTTTTGTTTTTGTCCGCGTGTATGTCGGTTATCGCGGTAAAAAGTAGCTTATGTTACTCGCTGATAATGTAGCTTTCCATTGGTGAAAGAATTTTTAAAATCCGTTTAGTGGTTTAGACGCAAAAGCGTAACAAACAAACAAACTGCACGGATGGCGTAGTGGTTTAAGCGGTCGCCACGCCGCTTCCTACTACGCCGAGTGTTGTGGGTTCCCACATGGGACGACACTTTGTGTGATCCACAAATTGTTGTTCCAAGTCTGGGTGTTATTTGTGTCCGTTTCATGTATGTTTGTAAAGTCCCCCGCGACACAGGATATTTTCCTAATGCGGGAGTTGTCTTTAAAAAAAAAAAAAGAAAAAAGAAAACTCACTTTTACATTTATTAGTACGTAATTCTTTCGGTAATTCTGAGAACATCATCCTACCAAAAACATTTTCAAGTAAAATGTTGCCAAGACGAGAGCACATGGCTCGCACTGTCAAAGTTATCTTCAAGCCAAACTTCTAACTCTACACGCTCTCACTTTACAAGCCCTAACTTCACAAAGTTTACACCTTAGCCAAACATGTGACTGAGACGTTTCGTTACTACAAGAACTTATGAACAGTCAATAAATGTTTCACCTTATGCCCGATATGACGGTAGCACAACGGCCAAGCCCACATAATTTTATTTATTCAGCAATTTCCGAGAACGAGAGGAGTTTTGGGCCAAGAGATCAGTATTGAAGTCTGCCATGATGATGTGATGCTCATACTCAGACCCAAAAGTAGTCAGTGGCCGGAGGACAATTAACGACCCTCAGAGCGATTTTTGGTTCCATGACACAAACGTCGAGAAAAAGGTACTCAGCGTTCGGAATCAGGTGGTGATTTGGCAAAAAGAATGTACGAAAAATCGGCGCGCAAATAAATTGCAACTGGTGGGGTTGCAATTTATTTGCGACACAAACGTCGAGAAAAAGGTACTCAGCGTTCGGAATCAGGTGGTGATTTGGCAAAAAGAATGTACGAAAAATCGGCACGCAAATAGGTAAATTGCAACCCCACCACCCGTTTTGTCAATTCTATCATTCCGGATGAGAAGGAATCCTGGAAAAGTATAAGTAGTAGAAAGAAGTTGTGGTTTGAGTTGCCGTTGTCTCCGAAGTCCCATAAGTCATTAAAGTGACTGGGTATGTTTTGAGCATTTTTATGACAGACATTGAAAAGGCGAATAAATTCATGATCAAAGGTGTTACGTAATATCTTTCCGAGTGTATCAGTTACCAAGGTAATATAATTTTGACTAAGGTGTAAACTTTGGAAGGGCTCGTAGACTTCCTTCCCTTATTTTTAGGGTTGGTGGGGGTATAGGTTCTAAGTTTTAGAATTTTGTTGTTGTTTGTGTACTAATACTAACTTACATATCAAATTTCAGCTTTCTAGGACTTCAGGCAGTACCTTAAGAATTTTTAGTTATCAATAGAATCTAAAGAATGAGAGCTATGCAATTGTAACTTTATATTTTTAACTAGCTGGTACCCGCGACTTCGTTCGCTTGGAATTTGAAAATTCTTGGTGGTGTAGTAAGGATCGGTAAGCGACTCGGCCTCGGGCTCGATTCCCTGACTGGGCAAAATTTTATAAGGTTTTTTCTGAGAAGAAGAATTTTGGTAATCTGGCATAATCCTAACCCATATTTTAAGGGTTCAAAAAAACGACGAAAAGCTTCGATAAAAGGTAGGTCGTAGTGCCCTTGGCTCGCTTTGGCGAGATAACTTTTAAGTACCGATTACAGCACTCACTAGCCTCTAGACCAACAGTGGACCGAAAGCGTAGACACTAAGATGTCTTCATGGACAAACGTTCTTCTACGAGAGAACATAACGGCCTCCTATTGATAATGTCTAGCACTTGTATGGGTTATAGTATTTATTTCGCGCCAAAGAAAACTTGTCTTGCTTAAATTTAGTATCGGAAATAAGGACTCAGTGCATTATTTGTTTTTTTTTGAGATTGGAACTCATTTATTGAAGACATTAAAAACAATTGTATTTCCAAAAAAGAGCTTATCCACCTCGACAAAACTGGTTGAATCTTGTGACTCAAATGACGTTGAGTTTTTCATTCGAAATACACAGAACCACTTCAAGAAGTGGTTCTGTGTGTTCCGAAAAGGTCTATTTGGATTTATAAGAGACGATAGTGACAAGGGTGGGAATCACCTTGCGTGTATCCTATTAATGATCATCATCAACATCCTTACTAGTCCACTGCTGGACATAGGCCTCTTCTTAGAAAGGAGGTTTGGCCACGCTGGCCAGACGGGTCGGTATAGGGTTTGTTACAAGTTCACGACATCCACGGGATGAATAGGGGTGGTGACATACCGTATTGTTAATCCGTCACCTCACGGATTATGCCATTAATCCCATTAACACAATAAGCGCAAAAGGTTGTGAGCATGGATGTTTGTTACTCAATCATGCCTAACCGGCTGAACGAATCTAAATAGAATTTGGTACACAGATAGACTATAGTATAGGAATAGCAAAATATCAAAAATTAAAAATGTTTTAACAAAATTTATATTTTGACGCGAGCGAATCCGTGGGTAAAAGATAGTAGAATTTACTATGCTATTGAAATCGCTAACCTGGCATGGAAACGTTCTTACACGTGGCACAATGTAATAAGATTCAAGACATTGAGGTAAATAAAAAAAAAATTGTAATGCGGAGTACGCCATCTTTTATGGTTTCTATCCACCTACGGAACTCTTAAAGGTATCTAAAATATACACTAAAAAGCCGGAACTAACTATTTAATTAAGAAAATAAAGATTGTTTATCTGCATGACAAGATTGAACAACATTTATGCATTAGTTTAAGAGTCATAATCTAAAGACCTATTTCCTGAATTAAAATATTTTATTTCAGGAAGTAAACAACACGCTAACGCATATATCTCCGAAGGGGTAAGCAGAAGCAAGATGGCAAGATTGGAAGTCAATGGTAGTTAAATGACACTGATTAGGTATACGGATGGATTGGGGAGTGAATGAAGCAATAGATCGATTAGGTCAAGAGTCGCATGCCTGTGACTGTAGCTGATCGTTTCTGAAAAGTTCAAATCTTCCCACCGGAAATAGAAATATGTATTTATAAATATAAATGAATTTTAAATAATAATACTTGGTATTTATATTTAAAACTACACTCAAGTTTTTATAGCTCCTTAATCAGTTCATATTTTATCGCATTTGACAGCTATAAGGTCAATGAACTGCATTGATTTGTCAAGTAACTTGTTCGGTGTCTGTATTTCCTACTTTTTGTAAATTAAATACAGCATACTAAGGTCATTTCGCAATTGAAGTTGAAATATAATGATGTGATAACTGACATCATAGATCCATTTTAGTTAGACAGGGAAGTTATTGCTACTTTTAAATGAAATTTATTTGAAGAAATTATTGGTTTTGGTCACAGTGATTCCACATGTAATTGTGATTTCGTCCTAGACAACGATAAATGGCATTAAAATCAACCAAAATATTTTTGTTGCGCCACAGTGCGTTGTTGTTCCCTGTGTGGCGACTCCCACATACAAATAAAACAGAAACATACTACAGCGCCATCTAATGAAGACACACCGAACTACGGAGTAACTACTAAAATAAGAATTGCTAATCCTGTATCGCGATATAAAGAATTCCCTCGCCGATTAGCATATATACAACTTCCCAACATCAACCGTTGAGCCGCGGCCCGCCAGGCATGATCACCTCGCCTGGTCGGAGGATCCTCCCTTTGTGTTGGAGGGACATGACACCCGTTCCTCCGCAGTGGTGACCCCGACGTGATTAGAAGCAGCCTTCAAAAGGAGCAGATCATCAGCAGCACCATCGTGTACACTCCCACAGCGATGAGCAGTAATCAAGTCTCAGCCAGCTAGCAACCTCGGCCTCTACAGGGATACCACACGCAGGTAGCGACCGCTGATGCCTGGTTACCTCTACGGCCTCATCAGCGTCTAGGCACAGCACACTGCACCTACGGTCCACGTAAGAAGAGCATTTTCTCTCCCGTCTACGCAGCAGCCAGCCACTACGCAGCAACCACCCCGACTCACTGGAACTAGCGGCACTCAGTTCCGACCCACTGGAACTAGCGGCACTCAGTTGCGACTCACTGGAACTACTCACTACTGGCACTGGCACGCTCCACAACAGAGCATAGGTAGCTGACTTATGATATATCGACCTCCGGTCTTGGAGGGGAGTGATGTGGCGACTCCCACATACAAATAAAACAGAAACATACAGCGCCATCTAATGAAGACACACCGAACTACGGAGTAACTACTAAAATAAGAATTGCTAATCCTGTATCGCGATATAAAGAATTCCCTCGCCGAATAGCATATATACAACTTCCCAACATCAACCGTTGGGCCGCGGCCCGCCAGGTATGATCACCTCGCCTGGTCGGAGGATCCTCCCTTTGTGTTGGAGGTACATGACACCCGTTCCTCCACACCTGAATCCCCCGCCATAGACACCTCCAAGCCCAAAAGACATGTTGGGCTTGGAGGTGTCTATGGGGTAGTTACTTACAGATGACCCGTCTGTTTGTTTATGTCCCTGAACGATAGAAAAGAACTTTTTTTGGGACATATTTCATAATGATAATATGAAATATGTCCCATGATAAATGACCTTAGTCTGCAATACTTGAAAATGAAGGTATTTGTCAAAACGTTCTAGCTTTTTATATTATTGGCTGTTATGACACCAGTGTTGCCAACAATTAAATGAACTTTCCACCAGATTCAACATCTAAAACAACCAGAAAACCACTAACGAAAAACTACCCTACTCTAATAGCCACTAAATTTTCAGCTAAACATTTTTTTTTCGTAATGAGGAAAGAAAACCATGTGTATGTATATTGATATAACTACTTTCCTTTATTAAAATTTAATACTTATACTAATCGTTTTTATCAGCACCATCATCGTCGGTTCCATATCAATACGATTCTTTGGTACCGATTTATTTTACAACATTTATTGGAATTATATTTCTTGATTTAAATCTAAATCACAGCCAAATCCAAATTTAAATCACAGCGTATTCTTAACATAGCAGATAAAAGATTTAACTTCATTCTATTCCTCTTTTGTACTTACAGTCTCTCAACTCAACATCGCCATTGAAATGAAGCAGTATTAAGAGAGTAATACCAAAGGTCGCTAATTCCTCAAATGTCCCTTGCCCCTTTTTTATTTTATTTTCTAGACGGAAAAGCAAGCATTACTTGCTCGCAGAAGGAGACGGCGGAGTTTCACACACTCTCACCCCGTAACACGGCGGCAATCATGTTCCATGGCGGCAATCATGTTTCCCTTGGCCACTTGGGCATCTTTGAAGAGCAATACCTCTAGCATGTGGAAGTTCCTTAACACGTTGGGCATTGGTAGACAACAACGGACCGAGTTTCAATAGTTTGAATAATATCAATCTTCATTTCTCTTCTACTACTCAACCGTAATCAGTTTACATAGAGTCTGGTCTGCCCAAACCCAATATTTTCAACTATAAATTTTCTCCTGTGCCATCTGTGGACATCAGAAAGATCATTGTGTCTGTCTGTTGTAACACAATGCTTTGCAAGCTGAGGAATGATAGTTAAGACTGAGTCCTCGCAGTTATACTGACATGATTGACGACGACTTTTTTTTCGTCCCCGAAAGGTTTTCCTCTCTCTGGCACAAAGCTTTCATCATCCCATCGCCTAAAATTAATAATATAATCCTTCTCTTCCTGAGCATTTCTATTCCATTCCTACCCTTCCTTTTTTATCAAACGTACTCGAGATAATCTAGGAACTATTGGTACTTGCGTACACAAACAATCTGAGTATTACTACTAAACCACAAAAAAATCAACTAGGGACTAAAAGCAAAATTTCGTCACTAAAAGGGGGGTCGAAACCACTAGTTTTGGTGGAAAATCCATTGTATGACACCAACAATAAAAAGGACTATGATAATGTTTTAGATTTTATTATTATTTATAGTAAGAAGTAGAGATACAGAATATGAAATAAAAACATAAAAACAATACTTAAATAACAGTACATAATAAGACTCATAATCAATTAAAAATAAACAATAAACAAACGTAAAAGATGTATAAATAGGTACTTAAAAAAATAAAAAGTATATTGTACTTAAAAACTTAAATTATTGGATATTGTTAGCCCTTTTTCTTGCCTTTTGATTTTGGCTTTTTTTCTGAAGTTGGTACTGACCGTCTTTCAGGTTCTGGAGGCGGAGAAGGCGGTAATTTTCGATCCGGGAATTTTCTAATCGAATATTCTACCATGGCATTAATATTTATTGTCGCACCTCCTCTCCCAACGCGCGGACCAGGGAATATATTGGCTACCTCGTCCATTAGGTCATTATCTACAGGAGCTCCTGCATGGCTCACTAGATCAAACAATTCTTTAGGTGGCATTAAAAGAACTTTGTCCTTCTGTAATTGTAATAGTATCAGTGCAATATCAACTTTATTCTTCTTAGGTCTTTTGCATAAATACTCTAATCGATTGAAGAGCAACTCTCTTTCGTCGGGCCCCAAACCTTTGAAACTACCTACTACGTATCCATACGTAACATTCAATTTAGGTTTAAAGCTCATGACCTGATCAAGTAATTTCAAAAATACTTTATTGACTGTAACGTTCTCCATATTTACACAAGAAACGTGTACTTTTCGCAGATTCAGTTGCTTAAGAATCGCCAAAGCGTCTGTTGGGGTCATAGGATTATATGATAGATTTAATGATACTAGTTTCTTCGCTGCCGATAAACCCAAAGAAATTTGTTCGATAGCTTCGTCTTGTAGTTTATTATTGCTTAAATTTAAATGTTGTAAGTCTCTAACAGTAAGCAATTGTTTCAAAGCCTGACCTATTCGAAAGCCTGAGAGAGCGTTCCACGATAAGTTCATATTTATGACGTTTTTAGTGGTCTCCGCTATTGCCATTAGGAAGGCATAGGTTCCTGGTGTAAAAAGCTTGTTATATGACAAATCCCAATGCGTTATGTAGTTGTAGGTTTGGAAAGGTTCTACTAGCAGTGACATTCCTTTACCGGTGATATTATTTCGACTCAAATTTACCTCTTTTATGAAGAGGCCATTAAACACTGCATCAGCGAAGTACGCCATACCCTCATCGCCAACTTCATTTCTGCTCAAATTCAGAATTTTGAGAGTTCTATTTTTCAGCAAATTAGCCAACAGGTGTCTGACTCCCTCGTGACCGATTCGACAGCCAGAAAGGTCCAGCGCCACCAAGCACCTATTAGTTGCAAGCATCTGTCCTAAATGATAGCATGCGTCGGTGTTTAATAAATTCTCAGTAAAATATATTTCTTTGACAAATTTGTTATATGCCAAAGCCATGGCCATGGCTCGTACTGCGACTGGGTTGAGACCATAGTACCTTAAGTTAATTTTATCACACAATAATTCTCTATGAAAACATCTTACAACGCATTGGTTCATTTCTTTACAAAGAGCCAAATAAAGATCCTGGCCATTGTCACTGTATATAATTGTTTCTTCAGGTTTTAGCAAGGCTGCCATTATCCCAGGATCAGTGATAGCTGGGTAGCGATAATAAACGTGTCTTTCAACGGAGCTAGACGACATGTTAATATATTTTGGGCAAATATCTGGTGCTCCTGGATCGTACAGCCCTTCTTCCTGAAGAACCCGTTTGGAATTCTCGACATCGTATACCACTTCAAGCGATGACCATTGTTCCATAGGTGGATCTCCAGAACTTTCAAGACTAACAGCCTCGAAGACTGTTTCCATTTTATTCTCATCATCAGATTCACCAGATTCTGAACTCATTCTTGGGCTTTAAGTAAAAAAATATGATTTATAAATAATATTTTTATAAAAATAATGTTAAACACTTAGATGACATATAAATAATCTAAGGTTAAACACTTTATTGACGTAAAAACATCAGAATATACCATAGATTTAGATTTTTCTTTAAAACGTATTTCAAAGACGTGATTTCAGGTGGTGCATATTTGAATACTCGTTGGAGGTGAAAACAATCATAGACAAAGAGCAGACTTATCAAAATTCGTTATTGGTTACCATTTAAGTAATAAAGGAAAAACAAAAATACGTTAATAAAAGTAAAATACTGTAAAATAGGTTTTAAAGTGACGACTGGTAACGTTCAAATACGTAGGTTTAGGTTATTCTAAAAGGCAAGAATGGATGAAGTTCTTTACCAGGGCTATACTTACTCACAATGGTTTATGAGTATTACGAGTTTTGTCCAGTAATTATTTCAAGAACATAAATCTACCTAGATTTTGCAGCAACGAGATACTACCGACATCTGTTTTGCAATATGTAAACATTTCACACGTAATGGAAGTTGATTGAAGACACTCCAACGGAGTTGTTCTTTCCAATTTTCAATAGATGGCGCGTCAAGTAAGTAAAGCGCTAGGGGCATAAATCATTTTAGGACTTTTAAACACTATAGTATTTATTTTATTATGGTATTTAATTATTTGATAAAGTTAAATTATAAATCGATTATTTAAGTATGTATTAAACCAATGAATTCAGAAAAACAATGTAAGTATGGACAAAGCAGAAGGTATTACAATGGTTAATGAAGTATCGGTAGCGTAATGGCTTGGTCGTCGGATTAACGATAAGTGATTGCTTGTTCGAACCCCACCCAGTAGACCACCGATACTAACCCAAGTATTTTAGCTTAGCTGAAGGTTTAACAAAAGTACTAGTAATGTATTACCCACGCTGCTAGAATTCTTAAAAAAAGTTACAATAAAGCAAATAGGCACTGATCCGACACAATTAAATCTCTGTACATAGATGTCTTATCGTTGTGATGCCAGAATGAGTATATATTATATTACTTTCATGCGTAAATTACCCGCGCCTCGAGAGAGGGCCTTAACACACGAGTAGGTACATGACTGTAAGCACCAATTAACAGACTCACTCACAGATGAACTACAAACAGGCCCAAGACGGTTAAAATGGCGAAAACCATTTTCCGACACCAAATTGAAGTAACTATAATGTGTATCTTGTGTGAGTAGACTTGTGTAGGTGACGTAGGTGTTTTTTGGGTAATTTTACAAGTATAAATGCAAAATAATTTATGGTATTTTAAAATAAACTTTTTAAAATATGTCACCGAATGCGACTACATTATGAGGAAATGTAATAAGGTGTATTACTCTTCATTCGTTACATAAAAATACCCGCTCAAATAAAAGTCATAAATTAATTTTCAAAGGTAAAGAACATTAAAAAGAACCGCATTAAGATCCTTCTCCACTATAATAATAATTATAATATCTATTAACGTCAAATGAGGTACAAATTTTCTAATAAACCAGGATTTTCTTAACCTTATTATACAGTATAGTCAGGCTCTGGTACCCAAGGTAAGATTAAACTTGTGTTGTGGGTACCAGTCACTCTCTCATCGAAAACTAACTATCATACTATTTGAAATCGGTAAAAAAAATGTAGGCATAGTATACAACCCGTGTACCAGAAGTTTGTTCGACCAAAGTGAAAAGCGATGCTTTCGAAAAGTCCCATCTTAATTCCATGTCTCGAGGTAAAGGAAAATAACTTCCTACTTAACACATTCACATTTACATTTCTATAGAATGTTTTCAAAGGTAAGAATTATGTTATTATTCATAAATATTTAACTTATAGCCTTTGTGAGTAATAAAGAAGCAAGTGAAATGAACGAAGGTGTATTATTAGATAGTAGTAGCAATCAATTAATTTATATACATACACTTACGTCTGGTAGACATATGTACGTTCTTTTATCGAAATGAAATTAAGTCGTTGTGTTGTGTTTAAATTATTTAAACATACATAACGGAATTCATTATTCCTGGCTAGACCCGGATCTAGTAGTTAGTGATAGGCAGAGACTTATTTAGAAGATTATTGCCCATTTTGTATAATTACGATATTAAAATTAACCTATTATTTATAACGATATTTACTACCTATCTATAATTATTTTCTACATGAATAAATTATATTATTCGAAAACCACAATAGGAAAGTCAGACTCGCACTTGTGCATTTTCTTACTTCAAAAAGCTTTGTTTATAACTAGGAGCCCAAAGATATTTCTCAATCAGCAAGCCAAGCGCGGCAGTTTTATGTATTAATAAACAAAAAAACTAAAATGAAAAGTTGAAAACAAACACACATCATCCTGTTATGCAGCAATAACAGTCTCGCGATAAATCCCTTCAGTCTAGGACCACATTTTTATGTCTAAAGTTTACGTAAAACGACTGAAGTTGTACCGGATTGCGCTTCTGAAACGTCGCTAAATCTGAGCTGCTTGAAAGAGTACTACTATTTGCATCCTCTTATACAAGATTAAGTACTAAAGAAGTTTGAAGTTTTCAATGTATTTTGTTTAATGTTTGAGTGCTCGGAGCTCCCATCAACAGCCAGCAGTAACAGGTATGCGACCTTGACGTCCTGGTCCTTTTTTATACCATATAGAGGGTAAACGAGCAAACGGGTCACAGGGTAAGTGACTTTCACCGTCCATGAACACCTGCAACGCAAGAGTCCATGAACAACTGTATTGCTAACCTTTGAGTCCCACCCTCCAGATTCAGGAGAGAGGGTTTGGGCTCCGGTAACCTCATTCACTCGGTTAGTGAAAAGCAACGGCTTAACATCAGCTTTCTGTGAGACTATGTATCTCTTCCTACTTTTTCCCAAACAAGGAGTCGGCTTAAAGTCTACTACGATACGGTAGAACTTCGATTTTTTACGCGTAGCGACTGCTATCAGACCTCCGCAACCCAAATACTAGGCGATATCGAAGTTCTGTGGATAGACTATTTTTTTAATTGGGACTAATCCCACCCACACGCCCACCACTGTAACTCCTGTACACCAGGATCTACAGCAGTGACCCACGAACACACCGAGTTATTACACTCGGGAAGTCCCAGGAAGAAATTAAACTGTCTTGGAACCCGCAAGGAAATTAATCAGAAGAAAATTGGAGGAGTTGGAAATACAGTAAATCCACTTCCCGCCTTAGCAAAGCGGGAGACAAAATGAAGTAAAATGGTCATACACAATTTTAAACAGGGAAGCACCACGGCCACAAAATATTACGGGTCCTACGTGTGCTATATTTGATTTCTATTATATGTATGGCAGAATCGCCTAAACGCACGGAAATTCACCCTAGTTGACACAAGATCCCCATAGTATACAAGCAAGCTATTCAGCATTATATTACGTTCATTATACCAAAGACTACATTCCCAGAGGATATGATGAGCAGACTGTTCATAGTGAGAGTTATATGTTGAGCATTGACACAATGGTGACTCGACTAATTTAAATGAATAAAGCTTGCTCTTAAAGTTACCATGACCCGTAAGAAATTGAACGACACAGTGATCCACCTCAAGCCATGTCCTCGACAACCGTTGGCGAACAGTTGGACTATTTTCATACTTTTTAGGGTTCCAACTATCCGTAACGATTGTTCGTATGGCAACCGGGACGAGCCCCTACCAGGTTAAAACAGTATCTCCCAAGTTGAACAACTTGACCGAAATAAAATTTTGGGAAATCCTCAACAAAACTCAATAGGATGCCGATTACATACCAGTGTCATTTGAATTGAAACAACTTGCACCCTCAGAAAAACAGTTTTATACTCACTACATTCTTAACAGTTGTTACATCACAGCATCACATCAACGGTCTTTAAGAGTCCACTGCTGAACATAAGAATCTCCTTAGAAATAAGGTTTTGGCCTACTATACCACGCTGGAAAGACGGGTTGGTAAGGATTGCAATTTTCTAGTGAAGGTTAAGTTTTTTTATTCAATATTATTATTGAGTTCTGATTACATCTGTGATCTAATCACGAGTTACTTTTAAAACATAGAAATCGTTAAAGGTGCGCCTATGAGGTTCAGATTAAGTCAACAGCACCAACTATAAACCAACTTTCAAACAAAAAAAGAATTTTTCAAATCGAGCCATCATCAAGTAAACGGGTAACATACCTACATAAAAAAATTAAAAGACGAATTTAGACTCCTAATTTTTTTATTGATAAAATTTATGTAGGTAGGTACTTATAATGAACTTTTGTGGAAGAAGTAAGGTATGCCCCTATTTTGGCTATCATCTAATGAACCCAGGCGATATAATGTAAACTGTATAAAGCTGATCTATTCGATACATTGTTTTTGTTACCGCAGACGACTTTTCGTACTGTTGTTAGGACGGTTTTTTGTGTGAATAATGTGTTTAAAATTTATTGTTGGCCCGAGGCATGCTGGTGTTTTATTTTACACTACACGCATAGAACTACATTATGAACCTACCAGCTTCTAGGATAGATATGTCGCAGTTAGAGTAAATAGAAAAAGGTTTTCTAGTGGTAATCTTATTTTGTAATTAATAAACGATGCCTTTATCCTATAGCCTATTTAAGATTAGTTATTGTGGCTTAAGCTATGTCTGTAGGATTTAGATCCCTGCTCTTTTGTAAATCCCAGCATTTCCGGATTCTTTAAAAGTAAAAGTAAGAAATAAAAAGTTATAGTTCTGCAAGGTGTGGTAAGGTTGCAAAAATATTACAAGAACATTATGTACAGTCACAAATTGATTAAACTGTAAAAAAGGTAAGAAATAGAATAATTTCAAGAACTTGCTTACAATAACTTCTGTTAGTTCGAAACTAGAAGTGAAAACTTGTTTCAGACGATTGTGTCATTTTTACTGATGTTTCTAGCTGTGAGTTTTCGATGTATGAAATAAATAA